ATTCTAATAAGTTGTAGTGTTATCTCATCGTGGCTTTGATTTGCATTTCCCTAATGACTAATGATTTTGAGAATCTTTTCATGTGCTTGTATGCCATGCTGCTTTGATATATCTTCTTTGGTGGTGTCTGTTCAAATCGTTTACCTGTTGTTGTTTTTTTTTAATATTTTTGTTTATCTTCTTGTTATTGAGATTTGAAGTTTCTTTATTCTGTATGCAAGTCTTTTAACATTAGATATGATTTTTGCATATTTTCTACCAGTCTGTAGTTTCTTTTTCATTCTGTCAATAGTGTCTTTTATAGAAGAGTTGTTTCTTTTCAATTTTTATAAAGTTCAACTTTTAATTTATCTTTTTTGTGGATCACGCTTTTGGTGTTGTATCTAAAAAATCTTGGCTTAACCCAGGGTCACAAAGGTTTTTGCCAGAGCTCTGGAAATTTTATAGTTTCAGATTTTACATTTAGGTGTATGATGCATTTTGAGTTAATTTTTGTATACGGTATTAGATATGGATCTTAGTTCACATGGATGACCAGTTCTTCCAGCACCATTACTGAAAAAAGCTATCCTTTCTTCACTGAATTGCCTTTATTTTTTTTAAATTGACAAATAATAATTGTGTATATTTATGGGATACAATGTGATGTTTTGGTCTATATATACATTATAGAAAAGATTTAATAAAGATAAGTAACATATCTATCACTTTATCAACTTACCTTTTTTTGTGGTGAGAATTTTAAAAATATATTTTAGCAATTTTGAAATATACACTGTTAACTGTGGTCACCATGCAGAGCAATAGGTCACTAAAACTTATTCTGCAGTCTAACTGAAACTTTGGACCCTTTGATCAACATCTTCACTTTCCTCATGCTTCCTCCTCCTTCCCCTGCCTCTGATACCCACCTTTCTACTTTCTGTTTCTATGAGATTCCCTATTTTAGATTCCACATATAAGTCAGTTCATACACTATTGTCTATGTCTATTTAATTTCACTTAGCAAAATGTCCTCCAGTTTCTTTCATGTTGTCATGGTTGGAAATGACAGAATTTCTTTCTTTAAGGTTGTATAGTATCCCATTGTGTATATATACTACATTTTAAAAATCCATTCATTCATTGATGGATCCTTAGATTGCTTCCACGTTTTGACTACTATGAATAATGATGAAATAAACACTGGAGTGCAGATACCTCTTTAACATACTGATTTCAATTCCTTTGAATATATACCCTGAGATGGGAAAAGGATCTGAACAGACATTTCTCAAAAGAAGAGATACCAATTGCCAACAAATATATTTTAAAATGTTAAAAATCTCTAATCATCAGGGAAATGCAAACGGGAAATATCATCTCACAGCTGTTAGAATGGCTACTATCAAAAGGATGAATCAAAACAGGTATTGATGTGGATGTGGAGAATGTTGGTGGCAATGTAAATTGGTGTACTCACTATGGAAAGAAGTATGGAGGTTCCTCAAAAAGCTGAATTGCCTTTGAATATTTGTTGAAAATCACTTGCCCATATATGTTGTGGGTCTGTTTATGAACTCTATTCTGTTTCATTTATCAATACTACACTGTTTTGAATATTGTTACCTTACAGTAAAAATTGAAATCATGTAGTAGTTTCCCCTTAATGTTCTTTTTAAAAGTTGTTTTGGCTATTTTAGTTTTTTTCCATTTCCATATAACTTTTAGAATCAGCTTGTCAGTTTCTACAGAAAAAGCCAGCTAGGACTTTGATCAGGGTTTTGCTGTAACTATAGATCAATCAGGAATGAGTTGACATCTTAATGATATCAATTTTTCTGCCCTGTGAATACAGTATATCTCTACATTTATTTAAGCCTAAAGTTTTCAGGACAGATCTTGCACATGTTTAGTCAGATTTATCTCTAGCTTCTAAACCAAGACACTTCTTTGTATGCTACCCAAAGCCCTGTAAGAGTTTTTTTTTTGTTTTTTGAATAGATAGTGGTTCCATTCTATAATTGATGAGATGAGTGTTTTGAAGAAACACAAATTTACCAGAGAGACAAAATGTATCTTAATAGTTTTCAATTTGTTATGTAATCAGAGTTAATGCAGTTGAAATCTTTTAGTTTCACATTAGGCACACAGAAAGCTTGCAAATGCTTTTAGACTGATTAGGGATCAGCTACCAGTTCTGTGCTCTTTGGGGTGTGTGTGTGTGTGTGTGTGTGTGTGTGTGTGTGTGTATGTTATGTGTTTGCCCACATCTGCCTGTACAGTCTCTTAGTTAATTGTTATAATCATATAATTAATTGCTGCTGTCAAATCTTTGGGGTATGGTAAGCATAATTCTAAAATGGCCTTAAGATTCTTGTCTTCTTTTATACATTCTCCATTTAGGTGTGGTTGGGACCTGTGAATATGCTGGGCTATCACTCTGTGATTAGGTTACATTATGTGGCAAAGGTGAAGAGATTTTGCAGATGTAATTAAGGCACACAGTTAATTTTTGAGTTAATCAAAAGGGTGATAATCTTGGGTGGGCCTGACTTAATCTGGTAAAAGACCTTGAAAGAGGCACTGAACCCCTCCTGAGGAGAAAGAAGTTTTCCTGTTGGCCTTGGCTAAGCAGAACAACCATGTTGCCAGCTGCTAATGGAGAGAGGCTGCCTCTAGAGCCTGTAGGTGCTACAGGTCTTAATTCTGTAACTGCATGGAACTGAATTTGGCCAACAACTTGAATGAGTTTCGAAGAAGATTCTGAACTCCACATGAGAACACAGCCCAGGCAAAAGCTTGATTGCGGTCCTGTGAGACCCTGAGCAGTGCACCCAGCTAAACCATACCTGGACTCCTGACACATGGAAACAGATAATAAATGTGTATGCTTTTAAGCAATGAACAATTACTAAGTCGGCAGATAATCTACCTGGCATTTAAAATGCTTCCCATTGTATTTGTTTGCTGGACCTGCCATAACCAAGTATAACACCATAGACTGGGCAACTTAAATAACAGAAATTAATTTTCTTGTAATTCTAGAAGATCAAGGTGTCGGTAGGTTTGGTTTCTTCTGAAGCCCCTCCTTGGCTTGCAGGTGGCTGCCTTCTCACTGCATCCTCATGTGGTCTTTACTCTGTATGCATATATGTCTAAGTCTTAAACTCTTCATAAAGGACACCAGTCATATTAGATTAGGGCCCATCTTAGAGACATCACTTTAACTGAATTACCTCTTTAAAGACCTTTTCTCCAAGTACAACTTCCTCTCCCATGTGTTATCTTTTTTGAAACCCAAAACAATGCTGTGGGGCATATCAGACCAGTATTACTTTGCTTCCCACTGGAAATTTGGGAAAACACTCTCAGAGCACTAACTTAATGTCACATAGCACATAAATTGTCTTCTGATCCCAAGTCTAGGGCTGTCTGTATCCAGTAGATAAAGTACTCAGACAAAGCATATGAACTCAAACTGTAATGGATTTCTATTGGATAAATATATTTGTAATATCTTGCTGCAAGTTCTTTTTTTTTTTTAACTGAGAATCTGTGCAAGTTACTGCCAGTTCAAATGCAGCTTCTGTAGTTGCCCCCATCTGCACACCCTTGCTATGAGGGTTTTCTCTTTGTGTGGATAAAGGCTGCTTGGCCCACACTGGTGTATCCCATTTTTACTGTCATTTCTGTGGGAGAAACTTATTATAAAGTAACCCCACTTGAACCTTTTTATGGCAGGACAAAGCAGTGACTTCAGAGTACACCAGCTCAGTTTGGACTTACTTTTTCGTAACCTATGTGCCAGGTTTTTGATACATGCTAAAACTGATTGCTTGAAATATATCTCCTAATCCTAGAAAACATAAAGATTCCACACTCACCGCATCACTTCCTTAGGAGAAAGAAGAAGAAGAAGGAAGAAGGAAGGAGGAGGAGGAGGAGGAGGAGGAGGAGGAGGAGGGGGGGGGGGGAGGAGGAGGAGGAGGAGGAGGAGGAGGAGGGAGGAGGAGGAGGAGGAAGAAGAAAGAAGAAGAAAAAGAAGAAGAAGAAAACGAAGAAGCAGCAGCAGCAGAAGAAGAAACAGCCAAAGAAAAAAAAAAAATCTCAACATTGATTAAACTGGTTGCCAAGAGCAAACTCACTTTATTTTCCCAAGGAGGAGTCTGGAATCATAAGTAGAAAGGGCAAAGGAAGAGGTGTAAGAAGGTGGCCCCAGGCTGTAACTGTCAAGAAGGCAAAGAATGAATAGAAGACAAGCAAGGGGAAAAACAGGCTTGACTGGGGTTTTTGTTGGGGGCTAGGCTAACAGAACAGAATCAAGATTCGGACTTACAAGAGGAGTCCCACCAGAGTTTGGAAGCAGTTTGCATAGTGGTTAAGAGCCTGGGTGCCAGAATCATACCGCTTGGGATCCTGAGTCCCGCTTCTGCCACTTACTGTTTATATAACCTCCGGCAACTTGCTTAACTATATGCCTCAGTTTTGTGACTTGTAAAATGGAAATAATAGTGTGTAACTTACAGAGTAGCTGTGAGTTAGGTAAGTTGATACTTCAGTGCTTGGTTCATAGCAGACGCTCAGTAAAATGTTAAACTGTTATTATTTGTAGTTTGTATCCTTCCTCTTTCTTAATGTTGTGTACTGCAGCAGGGAGAGGGAGGGATGAAGTGCTTATCCCACTGGAAGAGTGATATTTGTGTGAGAGCTTGGGTCAGGCTTATTTTGAGACGTGGGCCCCACTGAGGTGAGGTAGCACCGCTTCCAGAATACACCCTCTGCCCGAGCCCCGCGGTGACTGTGAGGAGGCCGAGGCCACGGCTGGCAAAATGCACGGGTGGACCTCCTTGAAGTGGCTAACCCGGGGCGGATGCACTGTTTTCCCTGGATACTTGACACTTTTCACTTTTTCTGCCTCCTGGCACTAGAAGTCATGTGGGCTCACACCCGAGCCTCCTGGTTTCGGAGGCTTGAGGGCCACTTAGCGGTCATTCAGTTTCAGGGTCCAGCCTCGTCACGCTTTGGCTACAGCCTGGGAGTTCCGTTAGGACCCCACACACGGTCCTAGCCGCAGCTCCCCACCACCCTGCCTCCCGCGCAGGCGCCGACGGGGCCACCCCCGCCGCCATGTTTCCCCCGCCCGCGCGCTCACTCCCCCCACTGCCCCCTCCCTCCCCAACTGGGTTCCCGCCCCCCTCCCTCAGCGGCCCCCCCCACACCCTGGTGAGGTCAGGCGGAGGCTCTGCCGCTGCGGCCGCAGTAGCTCAGCTCTTATTGCCGGGAAACCTGGAACGGGGACTTTTGAAAATAACTGGAGCGGCATTCGGGTTAGGGTCCGTGCTCTCCGCCTGCTCCAGGACAGGGTGAAGTGGCCCGGGCGAGCAGAGGGTGCGAAGGTGCGGGCGCTGGTGCCTCGCAGCAGGAGGGAGCTTGGGCTGCATCGCGCGACTCCCTCTTTGGCCCTCGGAGCGCAGCACCCGGCGGACGAGCGGCGGGACGCCAGGACGCGGCGAGCAAGGTGAGGCAGGGTCTTGAAGTCCGGACCCGGCGCTTCGCGGTGCGCGGCAAGGAGTTGCGATCTGTGCCAGGGGCAGAGGAGCAGGGAACCAGCTTCGTTTTGCCCGCCTACCCTCTTTTTCTCCCGCGTCCTGGTGCGCGCCCTCATCCTTACACCTTCGCATCCCTTTCTCCCGGTCCCTCTGGCTCCGTCGGACACCTGGGTTCTTCTAGGACCCCAGAACCTAGTTTTCCTGTGCTTCTTTGTCATCTCTCCAAGATCTTCTTTTCTGGGCCTCGCTGTCGCTGCCCTGACAGTCTGGGGTCCCTCTGCCCGCCTCGGCCCCGCTGTCCCTTGCCCTCTAACAGTTTCCGCTTTGTGCCTCCTAATCCATCTCTCCTTCAGAATCTCCTAACTTGAGAGTCTCCTCTGCTGGCTTCCAACTCAGGAGCACATTCCTCTTCTTCTCCAAGCTTTTAACTTCACTCTGAACGTCTTCAGCTCTGAATAGCTTGACTTTTTTTTTTTTTTTAAATCACAGTTGACTAATGATTTTCTTGGAGGTTTGCAGTCTAGGCTACAGTTTACTGAAAGTGATGAGATCATTCCTTCACTAAATATCCTTAGTAAATATCAGCTAGGGAACTTTAAACTTTCTTTCTAGGTTTCATTAAGTTAACCCAAGAACAATAGCCAGTTAAATGTGTGTGTGTGTGTGTGTATGCAATCTCATACATGATCCTAAATCTGATTCTTCCCTGGCTGCTGAGCAGGCCTGAGAGACACAGGATTGGTGGAACTTGTGATACCTGGCTCCATTTCTCTAATTGTAAACTAGGATGTTCATCATTTTAATGTAGTCAGAGGACTTTAGTGGTTTGGGATAAAGTCACTCAAGTTAGCACAGGCTGGTTACTAAGCACATTGAATGGGGACTAAGAGACGCTGGGATTTAAAACTGTCTCTGGAGGGCACCTGCTTTTTTTTTTTTTTTTCTGAAATCACAGTTTCTTAACGGTGGATCTCGTATTTGTATAAACCCTCCAAAAGCAGCATATTTCAAAACAACGTAGTTTATAAAAATGTCTATTCACTCTTAGCAATATCACTTTCTCCCCATGTAGTTATGGTGTTAGCTCTCAGGCTGAGGTTCATTTGCTCACTTCCATGCTGCAATTAGTGTGTGAGGAAACTGAATGGAGAAGCACAAAGTGGAGGCAAATACCAGTGAACAAGCACATGCTGACATATGCAGCTGTGTTTTTGGAAATAGGCCGTATCTAGTGTTCAAATTTAAAAACCGAGGAAAATGAAATAATTCAGCATTTGTGACATCATTTTACATCTAAAAATATTAGCTCCCTTAACTGCAAGTTCTTATTAATATCCTTATACTTAATGGTAAAAGAGTTGTTTGCCTGATGTGTGACCAAGTGTTGCCATTGACACAGTGTGCACTAATTGGCAGCAATCTCAGAAGAAACCAAGTTGTGAATGATGATAATGGCTAAATTTCATTGTCTGGTAGCACTTCTTATGGCAGTGAGATGAGAGTAGTTTCAGCTGCAACATCAAATGATGCATTTAAAAAGCAGATAAATAAGAGGTTCAATTCTTAAAAAGCCCAATGTTTTTAATCTGCCATTTTTATAAGCACACTTCAAAAAGTGTAATGTGATTATATAAGGCTTAGTTGATGTTCTGAAGAAAGTAGTTTTCACAAGAAAAGTAAAGCCTATTGCGTATCAATTTAGTTAGATAACTTGCAGATGATTTGTCGTTTCCCAATTGATTTGGTAAATTCCTGAGTTTACTTGAGGTTTATTAAAAAATGGAATGTAGTTGGGAAAGGGTACTTGTTCTAATAGGCCCACCTTTCTAAATCTGTAATTTTCTTGAGAAACCATTCTCAAAAGACATACAAACTTACAACTGTTTCAAGGAAAATAGTTTATACCATTTTCTTTTCATGATTATTATTGATACTAAGTCTAAGCTAAGATTGCCACTAATGTGATTGCATAGTAAGACTATTTGTATTTGCCGGGAAAAGAATAAAGGTGGATGTGAGTTAACCATAAGCATTTTGCTCTGAATCTTCAACATGATTCACTATGTGTTTGACAGTCCATCTGGTACACCTAGAGGTTATCAGACTGGATATTTCTGATGTTACTAAAGGTAACTGTACTTACTTATTGGATTATCTTCTTTCTCATTTTTTTTTTACATTTTAAATTGTGTTTCTTCATGTAATTTGACTTGCATTAGTGAAATGAGACTGACCAATTTTCAAATTGTTTGATTTTTATTGATGTTTGGTAAACCACTAAAACTTCTTGAAAATATTTTTTTTCTTAAATCTGCTGGTTGAAACTGATCTATTTTTATTGCTATGAAATAATACAACACATTTCCAGGAATTATTTCAGAAAATGTGGAAAGACTCTAGAGAAATGAATAGCCCTAGAGAAAATATCTCAAAATTGGGAAAATGGCTTTCTCAAGTTACTGATACTCATATCAGGTTTTTATGCATCATTGATTCATTTACTAATTCATTATACAAAATCTATTGGGTACTTGTTTGCCAAAGCCCTGTATTAGGTATAATGATAAATCTTCTAAGGCATGATCTTTGCTCTTGTGGAGTATCACAGTGATTATATTCTACCAGAGAATATAGACAATAAACAAGCAAACAAATGAAGAAGATCCTTATAGATTATAGTAAGAGCAATGAAAATAAGTAGGGGAATATGATACAGAGAACTCGGAAGGGCCTACTTTAGTGTGGGAAGTCAGAAAAGGCCTCTCAGAGAAGATGATTGAGCAGAGACCTGAAAGAGAAGAAAGAATAGGCCTACCTTGTCAGGATCTGGGAGAACATTCCCCAGATAACATTCTTGCACAGAGAAGAGTAAGAGCTAAGCCCTTAAGGGGGGAAAAAGAGACTTGACATTTTTGAAGAACAGAAAGCAAGCCAGTATGGCTGGATCCTAGTGAGCTGGTAGTGATTAAAGAGGATGTTAGATAGCCTAGATGCAGCCCAATAACAGATAAATAGGACTTGGAGGTCCTGAGAAAGAATTTGGGTTTGATTCTTAGAACAATAGCCACTGAAGAGTCTTTTCTGGGGAAGATCATTGGCTTAAAAAAATTATCCAGGCAAATTAAAAAAAAAGTTTTTCAGAGGATAAATAGAATGTCTGCTCACTCAGTCATTTATATTAATACCAGAGAATAAAAAAACTGTATGATTAGTATGCTAAATAAACATGTAATTCAGTTCCTCTACTCTGTTTAGGTAAGGGGACGGGGAATGGGAACACTGAAATGTTAAAAGGCAGTTTACTTTCCACTGTCACATTGTGACCTGTGCTACAAGGTATGTTGTCACCAACTTTATTAAAAATCAGATCATTGTTCAACTTGATAATTTATTTTTCAAGGAATGATGTCTTATTTTCTCTTGGAAATATGTTACCTTCAGAAGGTTGGAAATTTTATTTGTGTATAAAGGAATAACCTAGGTTTTAGAAATGGCCTTTGGAATTTTAAGAAGGACTTACCATTTTCTTTTAGCTGTTGTCTCTCCAACGTTTTCAAAGTTTTTTTATTCCTTTATTCCTTGAGAGATTAGGGTTACTGTGTTTCTTGAGGGTTACTGTGTTTCTTGAGGCTTAAATGAATTTATTGCCCTAAGCTCTTCCTTGAAAGCAATCCAGCTTTGAGTTCTGGTTGGTCCCAAAAAGAAATGCAGATGATTATTGACATTCCATAGGAGTAAATACTAATATTGTGGGGGAATAATCTGCAAAATAACCTTCAACAGTGCCTACAGGGTCAACTTCCTCCTTAACTGAGCCACTCAAGCGAGGACCCTCCATGATTTGATCCCAGCCTACTTTCCCATATGTCCTTGTTATTCTCTTTCACAAATCTCTGTTGGTTTAAACTGATTTTCCCCAGTTTGGAACTTTTGTGCTTAGCATTATTCCTGGCATAGAGTAGGTGCACAATAGGTGCTTGTCAAATGAATGCCATGCCTTTCTTTTTTATCATTTCAAATCCCAACATTAGTTAAAGAACAGATCAAATCTCAGGTCCTATTACACTGTTCCCCACTGAACTAGATCTCCTCCCCCTCTGAAGGTGAACAGCAGTCACACACTTGCCCTGCTGTGTCATAATTATGCTTATTTGATGCCTAGCCATTTCCCCACTTGCCTCTGGCTTCATGGAGGCGACCTAGACCTTACCTGGTTTGCTCATTGCTGTATTCTGAGCACCTAGCACATGGTATGCACTCTATAAATAGTTACTGAATAATGAATAAATGCTGCCTTGTGATGTTTCTCCTATTACTTTTTTGATATTAGATCATTTAATACTGTTTTACTTTTCATGTGTTTGTCTGGTGTTCTGAAGTGGTTTCTGAGAGAGTTTGTAGAGCATACTTGTTAAGAGCTCAAGCTCTGGAGCCTGTGTTTCAATTCTAGCTAGGAGACTTAATAGTTGTGGGACATTGGGTGAGTTAGTAAACCTCCCTGTACCTTAGTTATCTCATGTATAAAAAAGGGATAATAAAATTTACCACTTACGGTACTTGTAAAGATGACATGAATTAGC